AGCTTGTGACGTAATTGAGTAAATATGGTGTGGCAAATCAGAATTAATATGCAAATAATCAAAGACAGAGGAGCCTCGATTCTATGTTTCTAACAATTTACATTTATATATATATGATGGTGTACTGTCATCATCAACATCATTCACCACCATCATCAGCAGCAGCACCATCATGATCAGCATCACTCACCATTATCATCAATTCATCATCATCATTATCATTATAGCGATCTCCATCATGACCATATATTCATCATCATCATCATCATTCTAATTTATCATCATTATCATTATTATTATTGTTAACTAACAGCCACAAGGACCAGGAACATCCATCAAGGACAAGATGAAGCACCCTGCAGTACATATCAGCTATAATGATGCTAATGAATACTGCAAGTGGGCAGGAAAAAGGTTACCTACTGAGAAAGAATGGGAGTTTGCAGCAAGAGGTGGTCTTAGAGGTTAGTCTTTCACTTTTACCTTATCTAGGCTGCACCAAAATCAATAGTTGTCAGTGGTAGAGCAGTTTTCACTGTGAAAAGCTCAGTGCTGTATGTGTGCCGTGCCGTGACAGCGATGTTTTCTAGAATTTTAATTGGCTGATTTTTTTCACACGCAATGTGATTGGTTTGGCATTGCTGTGACCTTGGCGTGACCGTGTCCGCGATGTGTTTATGCCGTGTTCCGGGTATTTGATTGGATGGAGAGTGAATTCTCGTCCAATGTGATTGGTCTGGCGTATCCCTTGCCGTGTCATGGCCGTGTTCATGCCGGGAATTTTTCACAGTCATACGAAAACTGCACTAATGGTAAGGTATTTGTTTGGCAGAGATAATTTTWAAAAAATCAGGCTTTAGAGGGGGAGGGGGGCACAAAAGTATTCAAGTCGCACATCTCTTTTACAATAAACAGAATGAAATGGAGAGGAGGAGTCTGATTTCTTGGGTAACCAATTGAATCCCACTACCCCCTCTCCTGATAAAAATGACATGGTTCCTTAGATCATTGGGTCTTTCCTTACATTTGGTAACTGTTGTAATATTTATTGGATCAACACTAATGTACAATATGTTCATCAGATAACACATATCCTTGGGGAAACAATTTTGAAGAAAAAAGAATGAATATTTGGCAGGTGAGATATACTTATCAGGCACTCTCCACCCCTTGGAAATGCAAACCTGCTCCATGGGGAGGTGTGATTACTTTCTGAAAGTCCCCTTGACCCACCCACCCTTGGGAATTCCAATCCCTGCTCCATTCTCCCTCTGAAATGCTGGACAAAAAACATGCAGGAAAATACTTCACTTTCCCATTCATCCAGTTTTGTCCCATTCATCCAGTTTTGTTCTATTTATCCTTAATATAACTTAGGGAAGATTTCCTCATGAAAATACCAAGGATGATGGGTACCACTGGACTGCAGCAGTGGATGCTTTTCCTCCACAAAACGATTATGGTGAGCATCATAAAGATTTATCATTCAGGTTGATTATAATTTATATATAGATCTTGTATTTTCCTTTCTAGGAATGTGTGATATGGTTGGCAATGCTTGGGAATGGGTCTCAGATGAATTAAAAACCCTTGGGGGTGGTGGAGAGAAAAAATTTGTCCTTCGTGGTGGTTCTTATTTGGATTCTGTTGATGGCGCATTTAATCATATAGCAAGAGTAACAACAAGGTAGGAATGGTTAATTATTTATTATATATTTATAATTATTACAATATCATTAAATATAACTTAGATGGTATATGCACCTTATTGGTCAAGAACTTGGTTATACTAGTAAAATGCAGTAAAAGTACGGCTTTGCCAAATATTATTTATTTTGTTGCAAAACTTGAGGAATCAAAACCTTAGATGGAAAAAATCTTTTTCTTTTCATGCAGAATGGGAAATACAGCAGATGCTGGATCTGATAACATCACATTCAGGTGTGCAAAGAATATACCAAAAGTTGACTTGTAAAGGATATTATTAGTATTTTTATTATTTACTTTAATTTTACATATATACATTAAGAAGATATAACTAGCTAAAAACTAGTGTGAGCTGCGTCGGTGTTTCTTTTACTCCGACGAAGGACTAGCGTCCGAAACGTCAGTAAGTTTTTTCATCTTTTCACGGTGTATAATTTACCTTTTCATATATACATTAAGCTCATTAATGGAATTAAAGTTTGAGTACTGAATAACTCACCATGTTTTAAGAATGTCCTTGAATTTAATATATCACATTTTTTTTCRTTAATTAAGATCGCGATTGAAAGCAAAAACAAGCGCTTAAGAGCAGTTTTTGGCTCATTTTGCAAGAGCAAGTCCACAAACATACAAAATTCCAAAAACCAGATTAACCATAGCCGTCTTTTGAGGAATTTCTTGAAGGTTTCCATGGTAACAATCGAAATTTAATCTGCATGCCAATGGGAGGGACAACAAAGGAAATAAAAGAAAAGCGGAATGAAAAGGCGCCATAAAAGAGATCATTATATAAGGTAAAATCAACAATAAAGTGTAAACCAAACGAGCATTCTTCATCCCTAATAGAATCGCCATGGTTACGATTCCCGCGTTCTTGTCTGTCTCGAGGTCTCGGATGTTGTTTCTGGGGATAAAAATTTCATTTAATACAATTTAACATTTCCTATTTACTTTTCATTTTCGGGGGAAAAATGTTACTTGCTAACATATCCTTTGCTTTCACACCATTGGTAATTTATTCCACTTCTAACTAGCTAGTGTATGAATTCGTTTAACGAGAAAGAAAAGAAAAGAAGAAGAAAAAGTGACCCAGCCGCCCGGTATTTTGGTTTATATTGAATTTAATGGAAGATGTCATATTGAGTAATCATTTCGTTTAAGAAAACGCCTGATTCAGACTGACATATTGTATCGGTTGGCTTACCCGTGTAAAATGGCCTCTGTGTGGAAAGCAAGAGGAAGAGCCATGCTAACACATTGCATTGACAATTCCCCAGTCTGAACAGCATACGTAAACAAGGTTATGACAGGACCAAAGGCTATGAACACCACCAGGTCACCAAGAGCAATGTATTTGAGTCCTATACTACCAGTATAGATAAAAGAAGCTGCCATTCCAGTTAAAAATGTCGGGAATATTTTCATAGGAGATATCGAAGGGTACCCCAGGCAAATGACAATATAAGAAGCAATGGCAACTTCGTAGCAAATATAGATCAAGATTCTCACTTCTCGAGGAGTGAGTGTTTTCTTGACGAGGGTTTTATCATCCGAAGTTGTCGTATCGATTCCATTTTTGTAGTCAAATAGCGTGTTAACAAGATTTCCAGCTGCATGAGTTGCTAGGACTGCTAGTAACGTCAACATTAAGCGAAGTAAGTCAAAGTTCTCTCGGGATTTCCAAGCCATTGCCGTGCCCAGAAGAACAGACATAAACGAAGCAGTAAACGACCATGGCCGAAGACAGATAATATAGGATTTCATCTTCTTAATGAAAGATGTTGAATCATAGTCTTCTTTCTTCAAGGAGAGCATCTTACCAAGGAAGAGCCAAGCTACATGAATGCTTTTGAAAATGAAAGATGACTAAGGGTTTGTAACGGAAATATAAAACTGATTCTATACCACACGTGGCATTAGAGTATTGAAAAGAAAAAAAGATGAATATTAAATAACGGAAGCATTTTAGTCAGAGCACTAAATAATGCCTGAGTAAATAGCTGCTAATTTCTTTCCTCTTCCGAAAAAGTATTAATCTTTTTTCCACGGGCAAATTAGAATCGGATATTCATCAAAAACAGTTCACTTTCGTAGATTCAGCTATTCAAACAGAAACGCATGAATGACATGGAATACAAACAATTAAGCTTATTTAGTGTTACCTATTCTTATACTAAATGGCTGATTTAACACCCGAATTTTATTGTGTATTTGAAAATGATTGGTGTGAAAAATTCAAGGTTTACAGAAAACTAAATGCATWATTTTTTTACACAAAATATTTCGGTTATGACTGGAAATCACTCGTTCTGCACTCTCCTCACATTTCTGGGGTCTCTTGGTATTGATCACTCGGCCGGCATCACAGATTAGCGAGTTTTTCTCCGGCTTCTCCGGCTTTCCTCCTTATAACACAAAATCAATCTGATTCGCTGAATTAGTTTTGCCCTGACTTTTGGTCAGACCAGAAGCTATGCAACAGTTCCATGTCACATAAAATTTTGAGGCTTTTSGCCGGTTTTGTAATGAACTGACTATGCCTACAAAATATTATTAATGTCTATTAAAGTATTAATAAAATACCTCTTCCATTACTTCGCTAACATTTAATACAACATTGTGTTATTTTGTCAGAATGTGGAAGTGAATTTCTTATTAGAGGTGTTATTTTATCAACATCTTGCTAGGCTTGAGCCACTGACTCATTTAGAATGAAATCCTGTTCTTCCAGTTTCTCAGTCAAMGTAGTTCTTTGACATTGTTAATTCAAACTTGTGGTAGCTCTGCAGTCAATGGCGGTTGATAAGCTTACGTCGATTTGCCTTGGTTTGCATTTGATCAGCCGATATCACAAACTCTGCCTTTCCTCTGCTGCTTTAGCAATTCCCTTAATCCCTTTTCCTCCTCTAAATTTCTGCTTGTGACTCCAAGACCAAAGACATCAACGTTTGGAAAAARAACCTTCGCTTTGGCTGCACCGGCACTCTGGAACAATCTCCCTGATGCAATTAAGTACTCAAGTTCAGTACCAGAGTTTAAATCTGCACTAAAACACAACCTGTTCACCAGGAGTAACTGACTTTTTCTTGCAATTTTTTCCACAAACTTGGTATTCGTCTGGTCCTTTTGTAAAAAGCATCGTGACGTTGTATGATGCGTTTCTTAAGAACTTTATATTATTATTATTAATCAATGCAGTTGACGAACCACTGATCCGTAAACTACTGTGGCAGTGAAATCAAATAAACGTTTAGTTGGGAAGAACTACTTGCTGAAGCTCAAAGCGGAAAAAAGCCGGCCAAAAAAGGTTAAAAAAGTCCAACACTTGTATCGGAGTGCTGTTTATCATCATTTATAACGACGTGTTATCTTATATTCTACACAGGAAGTCATTCTAAACTTTATTTCACTATTTTGGCGAACGCTGTAAATAAGATCATTTTTATATTTTCTTGATTTGTTTAGACGCTGCCATTGYATGATTTATATTTCTTATTTCTTCCGAGCCAGGCACCACTTTCCTCAAATAATAAACGGAACTTATAAGTCACAATCACAGCATAGTTAATAGAAATTATTAACTATGATCACAGTCACAGTCACATAAGGATACGAAYTGACATAAGATATATCATCTTCATTGCTGTCGTTATTACRGCGTATCTAAAATSCGGGTAACGGGTTYTTTCAGTTTTTTCACTTTTATTCTTTTTTATTTTACCCGTTACCCGTTACCTGTTACCCGTTACCCGYTAYCCGCTACCCGTTACCCGCATTTTAGATACGCCGGTCATTATTATGACTCATTATATATCTCAGATCTTTCTTAATAACTATGGATGACGCAGTGTGCTAAAATTAAACCATTACATACAAGACATATATAACAAGCACAGGCAGTTCCGCTTTGTGTTCCCTCTCCTCGAAGGCCTGATAGTATTCAGGTTCGTTTTGCGAAACAGTTTTGGACACGTTTTTACACCAGTATCATGGCTCCCTACGGATTAGTCGACAAGAATGGACGGACTGGAGTTCCTTTGCAAAAGATTGAAGTTCATGGGACTTTGAWAGGATTTACAGCTGAAGTCAAAGCTACCATGGAATACATCAACAACACAGACAACCCCATAGAAGCCATCTACGTGTTCCCTCTGGATGATGAAGCGGCCGTGTGTGGGTTTCAAGCGACTATCGATGGAAGAACCATCGTGGCTGAGGTGCAAGAGAAGCAAGAAGCTCGTGATACGTACGATGATGCCATTAGTAGCGGCCACAATACAATACAATGCTTATCTGCTCGAAGAAAGCGACGAAAGCTCAGACATCTTTCAAATTAACGTGGGAAATTTACCTCCAAAAAAATCAGCAACAGTCGAGATTACTTTCGTGACAGGACTGGCTGTAGAACAAGAAGGACGAGTCGTGTTTGTACTGCCTACAGTACTCAACCCTAGATATACACCTAGTGACACCCCCCATAGTCTCACTACAACGATGACTACCATCGCTTCAGTGAGCACAAAATATTCCTTTGATTTCGAGYTGAATGTACRATGTGCGTCTGCCATCCAAGAAATCACCTCTCCTTGTAACCGACTCAAGGTTGACATCAATCCTGACGATAACCGACGAGCTAAAGTTCGACTAGACGAAGAATACAAGTTCGATGCTGATGTACAAGTGCATGTGTTGGGTTGTAAGCCTTTTGAACCACACGCTCTGTTGGAAGATTGCGTGACACCAAGCGGAACAGAGAAGAATGATGTGATGTCCAAACCGATAGTCATGATAAATTTCTTCCCCCAGTTTCACAGCTCTGCCTTCCTTGAACGAGGAGAGTTTATATTTGTCGTGGATCGAAGTGSAAGTATGAGGGGTTCGCGAATTAAAAGTGCAAGAGAAACACTTCTTTTGTTTCTGAAAAGTTTGTCAGACGACTGTTATATCAACGTCGTAGGGTTTGGAAGTTCTTATCAAAAGTTGTTCAAAACGAGTGAGGTTTACAATGATTCTACTGTAGACAAGGCTTGTGCCCATGCCCAGTCCATGGAGGCAGATTTAGGAGGGACTGAAATCCTCGAAGCTCTAGCGGATGYGTTTTCACAGCCACTCATCAAAGGTTATCCTCGTCAAGTGTTTCTCTTGACAGATGGCGAAGTTGGTAACACACAGCAAGTCATCGACTTAACGAGACAAAACGCTGACCAAACAAGGCAAGTCTACTCGTGAAACAAACAAAACACTAGAATGACGTTGTACATTTTTAATAGTGATCAAACGTGATTTTTGATAGGTGCTTTGCATTGGGGATTGGAAGTGGTGCGTCAACTGCATTGATTAAGGGAGTAGCTAAAGCAGGCAGAGGAAAGGCGGAGTTTGTAATATCGGCTGATCAAATGCAAGCCAAGGTCTGTATTACTTTCTTTTCTGCTTCCTACCTCTATTATTGTATAATATGTTATATTTACCTCTTGGTATTTTTGACCTGACGGTGATTATGCCACCCCTGGAACCATCCCTATGATAGTACACTGGTTCAATGTTCTTGTGTTGTAACCAGGGAGGGGTAAGCATATCATAATATTACTGATTAATCTACAGGTCATCAAGATGCTCAAAAACGCCTTGCAGCCAGCTCTTCTGGACTGTAAAGTAACTTGGGACTTACCTAAAGGATGTAACGCTCAAAGTGTCCCAAATCYGCTTCCTTCTGTCTTTCGTGGCGAGAGCCTGGTTGTGTATGGAGTCCTGGATCTCACTATGGACAAGGATGTCACACCACTGATTGGTTCAGTAACATTGACCGCTACTTTATCCACTGCATCGGGAGGAGGTGAACAAGTGAAACACAAAGTCAGTTTTGAGGGAGTATCATGGGAATCAGGGGAAAACAAGTTGCTTCATCGTTTGGCTGCAAAGACTTTGATCCAAGCAAAGCATCAACCCCAGGAGTACGAGAAGAAGGAAATCATAAGTCTGAGCAAATCATCCAACGTGATATCGAAACTGACTTCGTTTGTTGCAGTTGACAAGGAGAGCCATAAACCTGTGTCACGTCCCATGACCAAGCCACCGCCAGACATGCTAGGTTTTCCAGTAGCAATGTGTGGTGGTTCACTACTACCAGGTAGGAAAATTGCAGGTTCACTCAAAGGTATGAGAATGAAAAAGACGATGAAAAAGGGTAAGACGTCGCCAGTACCTTGTAAAATGACCCTCGGTAGCGCCCCACCACAAGATGAAGACGATGAACGTGTTGCTTTTGGGGGTGATCCCTTTGTTTCAAATCCTTGTCCACCGCCTATACCTCCTCAAGAGAACGATCTTCTTGATCTTGTGTCTTTACAAAAAGCCTCTGGTTCATGGCAGCTGACAGAACAGTTGGCCAGGATCTGTGGTGTTACGATGGACAAACTCAAACAAACTTGTCCATCAGAATTGACAGCCAGCAATGAGGAAAGTGTGTGGGCCACAGCCTTGGCGTTGTCGTGTCTGTTTGGCAAGTTCAAAGCCAAAAAAGGCGAATGGGAAATGGTGGCTGCTAAAGGTATCAAGTGGCTAAAGAAAACCATAGATAATAAGGCTCTCAGCTATGAAAAGATCATGGAAATGGCTGACAATTCTTTGAGCAACTGAAATATGAGCAATCAATCCAGCATACCACAACGGGGACACTGAATGAAAGAGCTGGACTACAGTCTACAGCAGTTTTTTGCAAATCTACTTTTCATAAATTTTTGGAAGTAGTTCGTAATCAAGTAAGAAGCAAATCGATATACTGTAAGCTTATTAACCATTGATCAAATGATAATAGATAGGCTTTAGCAATCAACCGTGTCAGTTTTCATTACCATGGAAGATTATTCCAAGAAACAAAAGACAATTAAAAGACAATTCTAATACTTTATTTCAAATTTTGACATAATACTTTCTGTCAGCAGTTAAAGATAAATTAAATCTGCTCTCCCTATTTCTTTTGATAATCTACAACTTTTAGGGAGAAATTTTCACTTATTTATGAGGGGAGAGTTAGTGAGTGAGGTGTACTTGGACAAGTATTTAATTCGGCTGAAACTTCACAGTTAAATTTTTTTCTTGATATTCTGGTGGGAAGTTTTTTTTYTCTCCAAATCTTTAAAGAAGTGATGGTATTTACTCAACACTTCATACAATTTTTTGCAGTGTCAAGTAAATGACGTCACAGAATCTGTTAAAAGTTCTAAAAATAAAACTTCCAATAGGAATGTTGTGAAAAAACTTTAACCGATACACCCCTATTAGACCCTTGAAGATTATTCCAGTAAAGTTTCAGCCAAGAAAAATTTTCGTACAAGTATATATAAAGTGATTACAGAATGCTATTTGAAAGTCAGTTCCTTTTCCACCCACTCTTACAAAATCTGCTGTAGAGAGAGATTCTACATGGTTGTAGATGAACTGCCATAGATCTTGTTAGCTATGTTGTTGAGCTGTTCCAGGAAGATAAAGGTGAGAACTGTGTGTGGTCCAAGCCTGAAGTAGTATGGAGTAAAGCCTTTCCACAAAGCAAAGATACCTTCTTTACGAATGATACTAACAAGCACATCCTAAAACAGAAACATGATACATTTTCAGTTCCATTTTATAGACTGGGACCTTGGAGGGGGTGAGCCTCTCCCAATACTTTGGAATAACAATGGACATGGGGGATCGTCACACTAAGGTCATATAGGCACCCCTTTAGCACAGGACCAAATAATGTTAGTATTCAGCCCTGAAGTGTTTTCCATTTCTTGGTAAAATATGGGAAATGTTTCTGTATTTTTGTCATGATTATCAATTATCACTCTTTTACTTACAATTGAACCTTTGTATTCTGGTTTACCATCAATTATTCTCATGTTTTGAATACTAAGAAGGGGAAAAAAATATCAATGAAAAACAGCAATATTTATCTTCAATCCCCTCTCCCTCCCTCCCTCCCTCCCTCCCTCCCTCCTTCCATCCATCCATCCCCCCTCTCTCCACCAGTGCACTCATTCATCCCACCTTCCCTCCATGCATCCATGCATCCCTCCTTCCATGCATCCATCCATTTAACCACCCAACCATTCATACATGGATGCATCCATCCATCAACCATGCATCCATTCCTCCATCCATCCATTTTCACCTCACTCCTTCATCCATTACAATTGCCTGTAAGTTACCGTGTTTTAGCAATATCTATTGGCATTGATGCGATAGTTGTGGCCAGTCCACTGATCATGCTTGCTCCAAAGTGACAAATTATATTGTCATTGAAGTACTCTGAGTAAAGAAACAACAAATTATAATTGATTTTAATCAGTGAATTAGCTGTGCCCTGACTATGATCTGCTCAGAGGTTGTTTCAAGGTATCAATAAAATTTGAAGGTGAAGAAATAGAAAACGTTGTGTGGAGTAATAAAGCATGCGGGGGTCGGTAGAACATGAGAGAAGTGTTAGGAAAAACATGATGTGTAGGGGAGTGCTTCTGGACACTTCTCGAGTGTTCTGCCAATCCCCAAGTGCTTTATGACTGCACACAGCAGAGCAAGAAAGTTTTTTATTTCTTTCATAAAATACAAATTACAATAATAGATAGGAATGACGCAACGGAAAGTGCGCGTGCATGCAATGTGATCTCATAAAGCACGTGCTCCAAACCAATCAGAATGCGACATTCATAACAGTTATTTTATAATTGACAATAAACAACATTAAACTTACTGGTTGACAATAAGAACTGTTTTGCTTGAGAGTATGTTGCAAGCTGAGCRGCATTGACCACCATTGCACGTACTACAGTAGGACCACAACCCTTAAAAACAAGCACCAAAAGGAATCCTCATTCATATCTTGATCTAATATGATGGTTGGTCATTTTCAACCCTGTGAATGAATGAAACAAAACAAACTGCAACATACTCTCCATAATGTTAAAATCCCTTCTTCTTTTGTCATCCTGTACAGAGCATTAAACACATTAGTGTACCCTCTACGCTGTTCCACTGGTAACCTGCAAGCCAATCATATAATGCCACACTAAGTCAAATTACTAATATTCGCTTTAATTACTAAAAACCATCAAGTAAAGTGTACTGTATATATCCATTAAACAAAGCCAAAGATGTATTGTCCAGTTGCAGCTATTTTGTACAAAATAGTAGATATCACTGAAGCCGGAGGGGGGGACACCTTATTAGAGGGGGCGGGGGTCCTCGTCGGAAATTCTGAAAATGACCCCTAAAAGGGACCTGTATTTTGGAAAGAAGGGTGTGGCAGTGATGAAATTTCACCCTTAAGAGGGACCAATCAATAACGCATTTTTTTGTTTGGTTTCTCGATTTTATTTGCATCAAACTCCGTCTGCTCTAACGAATTTATGACGACGTCATCATATACAAATCGCTTGCCTTTTTGTAGATCTTATACCCTAAAAGGGACCACAAAATTCAGTTGGTGTGCATTCCCGTCGTTATCACCCTAAGCGGGACCAAAACCCTGATTTCAAACCCTAAAAGGGATGACGAGGACCCCCCCTTTCATAAGGGAGCCCCCCCCGGGTCACTGAAGCAGAACAATAGGAAGCAATTAAAACCACATAAATTTGTTTGGTTCATGCCAAGTCAATTCTTAGTTAGTTGAGTCTATAATGCACTAAATAGTACTTGTTTGAAGGATATATGAAGTGCACTTTACACTTGTTCAATTAACACTATACATATGTACCTCCCATCGGAAGTCATCCTTATCAATGAAATTTCAGCTGGTGTACCAACAAATGATCCTACTGCACCAGATGACATACCTTTATAAATCATAACACTTTATTAACAATCTCTTTATTACATCTAATTTTTCTGATCTTTAGAAGGCTGTCATCTATTAGGGGAAGGCAATATGTGGGAAAAAATTGGGAGGCAATAATGATTTTGAGCAGCACATGGGGGGAGGGGGGTTGTGGATTATTTTGAACCATTAGCATTCTGCAACTAAGGGAAGAGCATATTAAATTTGTTAAGGGGCACCAAAAATTGTTTTAAAATTCAGAATCCACATAGCTTCTCTCCCCTGCAACCCATAAATTATAAATGATTCTGGGTAAAATTATTTTACAAATGATAGACTCTCATCAAAAACTGGATAATTTCTGGAACAACACATTATTTAAATGACAATGATGATCAAAGGGTAAATTATACACCATGAAAATATGAAAAAAGTGTAACACGCTAGTCCTCCAACGAATCACTAGCATCCGAAACATCAGTAAGTTTTTTTCATCTTTTCATGGTGTATAATTTACCCTTCGATCATTATTGTTTTATTAGAAACACCGACACAGCTCACACTAGTTTTTAGCTAGTTATATCTTATTAAAATAACAGCTTACCCAGAGCAGCTTTCTTATAAAATGGTAATGGAGTACCATCAGGGCTGTAAAAATAATAGAAAAATGTACATCATTGTTGTAACTGAAATTCTAGGAAAGGATGAGTGACTCTTAACAACCTTGATTATAGGGATTGATTCATTTGATCATTGTATATTCAACATATGTATTGGAATATTTACTTTTTGAAGTGCTCTAGTAGTGTTGTATAAACACCAAGCCTTGTTGTTGTGTATGTTGCTTGACGAAGTAGACCAGCAGACAAACTGAAACAAAAAAAAAAGGTTAGAAAACAATGACCTTTCCCCAACCCCGCCCCTAAACCTAACCAATCACAGGGGACTTTGCAAATTTGTGAAGCTTAACCCTCTCTATTGTGTACGAAGTGGATTATAAATCTAACTTACCCATTGTAAACTCCAAAAAATCCCTCATTTCTCAAGATAGACATTACAGCATGAACGCTGCTTCTGTGTTCTTTGACAGCTCCTCCTATACCTGTCAATCAATGCATTACCATGGTAACTATTACAAGCCTTTTTTATTATATACAGATGATAAAGCCTGGAGTCAGAGTCAATGTTGGAAGCAGCTCTTGACAACATGAAAACCAAGTTACACTTCATCCTTTTCCTTGGCTTGTGGTTATGCTTATAGCAAGTGATTTTTCCATATATGAACTGCTTCTGATTCCAACTATGACTCCAATATCTATTTCTGTTGCAAGTGAAAACCGGGCTTACATTTAAGAGCATGCTATGCTGTCCAAATATTTTTCAAAAAATTGTCATTCACAAAATTGGGTCAAGCCTCCCCCCATATATTTTTGGCTGGATCTGCCCCTATACTGATCTACTAACACATTAATTATACACATTATTACAAATCCAAATACATACCACTCATTTGCATCCTGTTCTTGACCAAATCAAGTGGCTGAACAAAAATTGTTGCACCCATTCTTATTTTTAAACAAATATATATATATATATGTTATTTTTTTATCAATGTCAGTTTTTCCCAATGTGGACCATCTTTAGGATGGTAAATAACTTATTTATTTTTTTACTTTTCCTTTTACACTTGTTAACCAATCCATAATCCCATGTGTGGATGACGTGAGGGTATTGGACCCTGGGTAGATACCAAGAAAATATCACCCTCTCAAACAGCCAATCAGTACTTACGATTTTTAGGATACTGGACCGAAAAACAAATTACATATGTATTTTAAATAACTAAAATGAGACCTAACCCTAACCCTGAGAATCGTAAAGCTACAACCATTTTATTTATTTATAACAGTTCAGTAATTTTCGAATACAACAATGATGTATCAGCTGTTCATATTATCACACCGATTAGGACGTGTTTTTCTCTTTTCATTACAATTTGGACTGGATCTTCTGAAAACTAAATTTAGCTATGCGAAAGAGGAAATAAAGGAATCCTGTAAGATACTACAGTCGTTTGCAGTACACTGATCATTTTTATGTGACTTGGTTCAGTGCTTATTGTAAAATTCATGTTTTATCGTTTTGGGAATTCAAGCGAAAAAAAGCGTAAATAAACACTACCACGCCTCAGCTGCTACTGTCCACACTTCGTGAAGCAAAAACTATAACTCATCTTGTGAAGAAAAACGATGGCAGAACAACGAACATTTACAAGATAAACAAGCTTTATAGACTGAACTATTCACTTGTATTTCAAAACTGAAACATTATTATTGCATTTAAAGCAGAATTACGCAAAGAAATGCTTCTTTTACTTACCCAGCTGATCCTCCCATAATGAACCTTGCATAGTTAGGTATTTTTCCTTTATTATCAGCCATATTCAGGCTGTTTTCTTGGTGATCAAAGAAGGTTTTCTGCTCGTGTCTTGTTGTCTGATGATCTTCTGACTGACTAGAACCAGACCCCTTGAACCTTACACGTGGACAACAAGTGATAGAGGTATGGGGACAAGTATATCCTCATTTATTTATTTCTTCCTTTTTCCCTTTTGTTTGTTTAGTATGTTTCTTTCTTTCGTTCTCCTTCCCATTTTTCTTTTTTTCATTTCTTCCTTCCCTCCTTATGTCCATCCATCCATTCATTTTTTCATTCATTCTATTTTTCTTCTTCCTTTATCCTTTCCTTTTCTTTTCTCTTTCTCCTTTCCATTTTCTCTCACTCCTATCCATCCATCCATCCATCTTTTCTTTCTTTCTTTCTTCCTTCCTTCCTTCCTTCCTTCCTTCCTTCCTTCCTTCCTTCCTTTCTTTCTTTCTTTCTTTCTTTCTTTCTTTCTCTGGTCTCGTCATAGTTTCCGCGAGAGTTTTTAACAACCCGAAACGGACCGCAATTCGATCCATGATGGAGCTGCTAATACTTTTTTCTTCTGATATTTTTAAAATATGTACTTGTACTACCTCCCACTGACCATCCCCTCGGGCCTGTTCTATGGAAAATTGAGATGGCAACTGTCTCTAACCTCTTGTCACGCAATCTATTCTTTCTGTCATTAGTCTATGTGCCTTTAGGTATGATTCTTTTGAATTTCATTAAAGGTCAAGCAGTCTTTATCGATCTCCTTTTCAAATATCAAGGAGGTCCTTTGCAATGGAGCTGTTTTTCGTTAGATTTGCGATAATGCTTCGTACTATGACCTGCTATGTATGGGTCCTGTCATAAAGGCCAATCATACTGATAGTGCTCGATAATACTACTGCGTTTTCATATTCATGTCTTCTAGTCGGAAGTACAAGCAGATGTGGGCTGATAACACTAAATCAAAGTGGTATCTATAACGGATGATACCTCATGCGTGAGTTACGCCGCACTCCGAGAAAACCCATGTCAGTGGATACGCCGCATAACTAAATGACTTCGTTTCTATCCCGAGGGGGGAATACTGAGGCACTCTTTGCAAATCTGTCTTGATCGCCAATTCCCTTCTCCATGAACGCAAAGATATAGCCGTGACCTTGGAAACAAAAGACCACATGTATTGGCTTATTGCGTTGTTTATTTTCTATTTACATCGTATCTGTGCGGAAATAAATCGAAAAATTCACCTCTAAATAGACAGCTCTTTTCCAAAGGTTTCTCCAGCATCCTTCGCTCGCTTGGTTGACCCAGCGTAATTAAAACTCTTGTCTACGGCGGAAATTTCAAATAATATCAGACATCTCAAATACAGAATGAGACAAAGATTACACTCTATACTTAGCCCTCCCCTACTTAAAAAATAAATTCTGATAAATTCTCCCTACCCTACCCTAGAGAGTGATAAAATAATTTAGAATTACGCTCTGTTGAGTTGACCAAACCATGATGTTCTCTTATTCTTGTCTAGTGCTTTTCAGTTTAATGCAAGCCATGGTTAAAACGTTCATATATATAAATAAAGCAAAATAAATAAATAAATAATTGACAGATTGGAGTACAAATATACCTGTCCCCTCCCCACATGGAGTAAGTAGTTCTCAGGCTTCTGTCAGCGTTTTTGTATTCCAGCAGCTGCATAGACTTTGATGTTTGCATGAATGAAAAACTCCGAGCGCCGATCAAATATTCTCTGTTAGATTATATTTTTTGAAAAGGAAGATAAATGCCCCCTAAAAAGAAGAGACCAGAAGAAAATTCCCCGGAGCCAGAATGCAAGAAAACACGCGTTGAAATCGAAACAGAACAAGAAGAAGAACAGCGCGAAGATGAAACACAAACGAAAAGCGCGAACAATGGAGAAGAAAACTCTGTCTCAAAAGAGATCTCCAACGACGATCCAGGGAAGAAACGGGTACGTTATTATTATTACTACTAGCTTAACAAATCTACTTGAACTGTAGTTTATCCCAGGAAAGATTTCTGATTTCAGAGAATGAACCACGCGGCCGCACTGATCAGAGACTTGGTAAAAATACTCTGTGTGATCTTCATTTTATTACTTTATTATATACAGTATTTTTAATCTGTTTTTCGTAAAGAAATCTCAAGTCTGGACTGGAATTCGTTTGTTTTGACTTGTCTGGGACAGTTCCAAGTCAAATAATCGCCCACAAAAGCAAATCACGAGCATTTACTGAAATAAAAACTTCTGGGTCTATTTAAATACACAACCCCCAATCAAAAGATAGAGCAGTCAATACCTTTATTAGTATTCATTTTTACGACCAGACATTTTTAGTTTTTCGATTTATTTAAATTTTTTGGTGTTAAGTCATACAAGATCTTAGTTATGAATACATAATTTAGTTAATGCATTTAACAGAAATATTTTGCGACAATTGTCTTTAGCGTAAATAAAACAGTAATTGCTATCATTATTATTGATCAATTTATTAATGCAACAAAACTCAATGAGTTTTCACGTTACGGTTTTTGAGTTCACACTGATTATAAAATAAAGGAAAATGCATTTGTAATTTGAGAATATTGAACCACAATTTTTAATCTGAATTCATCTGTAGCTAAAGATTGACAGCTTAGAATTAGACCTGGGGGTCCCTAACAACATCAAAATAGCAACTTATTATATTTTCCACATTTACTGTAATAACTATACCACATTGTACAATTAACAATCAAAATTAATTCTAATTTTAATAACAATTCACAGCCACAAAAACGATTAATGAAATATTGTAGATTGATAATTCTATTTCCTATAGAAAGAAGCACTTGTAATCATTTAAGGCTCAAGTCTTTGCCATTCTGGGCGATGCTTTCTTATCAAAAAAGGGTTAACCTATACTGTATTGTTCAGAAGTTGTTTAAAAATACAGCAAAAGCAAAGGTCAAACAATATTCATTAGGATTTATTTAGTTTCTCTTATTTTCCTGATTCGCTGTTGAGTAGTTCTTTAGTTAAAAAGTTCCAGTTTATATATTTTCTATTAGTATTTTTACACAAGGGAATATAATAAATCCAGTGTGCTCATTGATCACAATTAATGTCTTATGCTGCTATCACCTACAGGTGAATATATGCACATGCTTGTTTGTCAATTTGTGCCACTTGCAGAGATAAATAAAATTGGAAAAAAACACAAAACAAAACTCTCTCTCTGTTATTTATTATATTCACTTGCGTTAAAAATACTAAAACAATTATTCACCGAAGACTCAGTGAATATCGGGGAATATTTACCTTGTCTGTCAAAGACTCATTTCTTGGTAAATATTCCCCAATATTCGCTTCACCTTTGGTAAATAATTGTTAAGTATTATCATGCATTGGATAAAAGTGTTGATTATTTTTCAGTTGAATGCATCAGAAGAGTGTGGAACACTTTTGATCTGTGGCAACACAAACTGGGATCTTGCAGGCCGCAAAGAGATGCCAAAATCAGCAAGTAAGGATCAAAAAAAGAAAAGTTTAGATTAGAATCCACTTTGAGTCTAAGTATGTATGTTTATAATCTCATAATCAATATATTTTGAATTATTTCAGAGAATGGCGGAGGACCCATCCTATGGGAGCCACATTTGATTTCATCTCTTGATGGCATTAGAATCAGACACATTGCCTCTGGTCCTTCAGCTTGTCACAGTATTATTATCACAGAGAGTGGGACAGCTATGAGCTTTGGTAAGTCTGACAATGTCAATTGATACAGTGTAAATGTTGAACCCTTTTACCTTGGGCGTAACATTTTTCCTGTTCAGACCACATGTCATTCTCTAGAGTATCATTTCTTTGTTTATCTGTTTTGCATGAGAAATAACATGAATATGGATACAAAATTAATATTATCGTTTTCCTATTTCTTTAGATTTAATTAGTTATTCCTTAACGGTACAATAAACTGTTGTTGTTGTTGTTGTTGTTGTTGTCTTTGTTGCCGTTGTTGTGGAAAAAGATGAAACAGTATTTCACTAAAGAGATGGGTGGTTTTCTTTGCATTAAAATATTACATCCTATCAAGAATCAGGTGCTTTTTATAGGGAGGAATGATAAAGGCCAGTTGGGACATGGAAATACTGAACGCTGCGACAAGCCGACAGTCATAGAGAGACTCAAGTACTACAAGATAGTCCAAGCAAGCTGTGGGAAAAGCCATTCTCTTGTTCTAACGGGTAAGAGATAATGTATTTTGTTTTTTTAGTGCTAGTTGTCAGCATGCTAATTAGCTGACTCTTGCTGCTTTGGTTATTGGGTTTGATCTTACTCCCATCATGTGTCATATTGTGTAATATTGTGTGGCTAGGGAGGAGAGGGAAAAGAAGGCATTGTCCTAGGTCCCAATTCAAATATAAAAGAAAATAATCAGTTCTCATCTTTGTGTTGACAGATGATGGTCGTGTTTTTGGGTTTGGTGAAAACAAACTTGCTCAGCTTGGCCAGGGTCACCAGAAAGCGGTGTTGCCACATCCAATGCAAGTAATGATATGTAGCAGATGAGTTATTAATTTCGACTTGCAGTCTTTGTGTCTGTCTTTATAGCATCTTTCAGTCTATGAGATAGTTAGGCAGACAGTTGTCCAGTGTCTATTAGTCCAATGCATCCATCCTAGGACTCCTAACATTCTTCATTCATTCATCCATTTGTCTATCCATTCATCAGCTGCATCAATCATTAAACTGTCTAATCTCAATATGCATCAATCTTTGTTTTTTATTTTTTATCTTGGAAAATGATATTATAGTTATCTTATTTATTTCCTCTCCTTTTCCATCTCATGTACTTTTTTTTTCTTTTCTTTTGAGGTTATGCATCCAAACAATAAATCTATCGTCAAAGTTTTTTGTGGAGCAGAATTCAGCATGCTGTTGGATGAAGAAAAGAATGTGTATTCATTTGGCAGCCCAGAGCATGGCCAACTGGGTCACAACACAGATGGCCAGTACATTGTGTCTTCAAACAAGCTTGGCTACCAATGCGAAGTGCTGCCGAGAAAAATCAATGTGTTTGTGGAGCGCAGCAAAGATGGCTTTGTAAACGTTATTGAGAATGTCAAGGTTGAAGATTTAGTTTGTGGCAATCATCATTCGGTGGGTGGTTACTTCTAATGTCTTTAAACTTTATTGAACCTGATGGCCAACTCAAAGATCAAACCAAAATTTATCTTTTATAGATTTCTGGAGGAAGAAAAACTTGAGTTTACTCCCTCTCCCCCTCCCCCCCCCCCCCCCCCCCCCCAAAAAGAACATGACTCAAATCAAGGGAAAGGGACCAAGTATTTATACTCACATGTGACACCAAGTCCAGGGATCAAACCCAAGACTCCATTAATGAGAAGTTATTGCACCCTTAATTCGAAGATCTTTCCCATTTTTTTTCTTGAGTGTCCCTTATCTCTCTACCCTAGAAGGCGCACAAGGCTTGCAGTTCCAACCTCTTTCTCATCTGTGTGTTCTAAACTAAGCTTGAGGAAAAGCAAGTTTTTTAGGATTTTTGAGATTGAAGTATCTCACCACCAATATATTGATTTAATTCATTATTTTGTCAGTAATGGTGTGTTTTGTTTCTCACAGATGGTTTTTGATGATCAAGGACGTGTTTTCACATGGGGTTTTGGTGGATATGGACGACTAGGCCATCAGCAGCCAAAAGATGAACATTTGCCCAGACTACTCACATACTTTGTCAATAGAGGTAAGCCATTTCCTGGCGATTCAAGAGAACTTTGATTATATTTCTATTGGTCGATTCCCCCAGGGGGTGGGGAAGTGATGTTTTGTTTTATTTTCTTTAAAAACTTTTCATGTGTTCCTAATGAACAATATTGACAAACCTGTTACTCTTATTCCAAGATAAAGTTGGAATTAGATGTTGATTGGGGCTAGATGCCGAAGAAGGAGAACCCATGAAAAAAAAACCTTGAAGCAAAGAAGGGAACCAACTTGAGACTATTTACATATGTCACAGACCCTAATTATTCATGTGTGAATCATTCCACAGCCACTCCAACCAGTATCTTTGCTGGTTCAACATACAGCATGGCTATATGCCAAGGTCAGTTGTACTTCTGGGGTCAAACCAAGCTTTCCGGTGAAGCTTCGATGTATCCAAAACCTGTCCAGGATCTGTGTGGATGGAAAGTACGCAGTGTTGGCTGCTCGTGAGTATACTACTTATAGTAGTAAAATTATATATAATCAGTTTTTGCCTATGATAAAGAAGATGCTAAAACTCTAATACTTGATTTTTCTGAAATCTGCATTTTAAGAGATTTTTTATTTAAGGAAATCTGGAATCGTGTAGACTGAAGGATTGGACTGGACTTTTGTTGCCTAAATCTTGGATCTAAATTTTTTTTTGGATTTTCATCTTTTGAAAGGGTATAGTTAATCTTAAATTAAAGCAAAAACATGTGCAACCTCTAAAATTTGATTCATGCTTCTAGTTTCTGAATTATGAGAGTTTTTTTATTGTGGAAAATCCGGAACCGCGCATTAATGGAATGGACTGGACTTCGATTAACTGGATCGTGCGGATCGAAAAACGTTTTTTGCACCAACTTTCCAGTTTTAATTATATGTATATATTTTTGATATTCATAACTAGCAATTTTATGCTGAAATAATGTTGAGAATAGGTCAATAAGCTAGGAAGAAAGTAATTTAAACTTAATAGAAGTTCAAAGCAGAGTGAAGTCCTTAGTAAAGACTTTGTTTCCTTTCCTTTAGTAAAACAAGTATTGTAGTTGCTGCTGATGAGAGTGTTGTTAGTTGGGGGCCAAGTCCTACTAATGGAGAACTGGTAAGGAATTGGACTAGCTGTTATTCGCATTCCCACTCAGCCTTCCTTCTGTTCAACCCTCTGCAACTCCCATTACTCATTCTTTCTTCATTCCTTCCTTCTATCTATCCATTCCTTACTGTGATTTTCCATATTCTGCTAACTCTGTGGTTGTGAGCTGCACGCTAAAATTTGGTTTTTCACTGCCGTCAATCAAAAATGATCAGTCGGTATCTTTTATGTTCTTGACTGGCGGCAGTAAAAAAACATTTTCACAACAAGCTGTTTAAATGTCTGAGTAATCTCTCCCTCTCAATCTCTCCTCGTCCCTTTTTCCTCCATCTAGCTCTTTCCCACTTATTCATTCATCCGTCCATCATTCCTGGCTAATAATTTAATTATTGTATTTGTTCCAGGGCTATGGGCTGAAGAAAGGAGGCTTCAAATCATCAACAAACCCAAAGATCGTAGAACCCCTAGATGGTATATACATTCATACTGTAACATGTGGATTGGGACATACCCTATTTATTGCCAGAGATGACTCACCTGAAGACAAAGAAGATATTAAGAAACTCCCAGTCTACGAGCCCGGTGGACCCTAACCATTCAAAACCAGGAGGGGAGGGGAGGGAGGGGTGTGGAAACACATCCTAGTATACCACARAGATCCGTCTGCTCCACTACCCTGACGAGACAGACTTGATCTAAAGGAACATATCGTCGCTTTGTTGTTGCAGTATTTTGGGTATAGTCTTGGCTCTGTTTGCATCGCATTGCAAAAAATTCCGCGGTGGCTGTTCTCCGTTGTGCGGTAACCGTTACTCACCCTACCTGTAGAACAGGATTTGAAATTTTCACATGGCGAATTAATCAGTCAGAAAGAGAGACAGAGAGATAGTAAGGCAGAGACAGTGTGTGTGTGTGTGTGAGAGAGAGAGAGAGAAAGAGAGCAGAGAAGAATATGAAATAGAAATATTTAGAAGAATAAAAAGCTATCTATTGACCATCTATTATTGTCCATATCTAAGTTATCGGTTTTCGCTTATTCTGGCAAAAAAAAAARAGAGAGAGAGAGAGAGAAGATAATTCGAGTTTAGACAAGAATTTTCCACGCTGCTTGATGTCTTTCATTTATCTGTCTGTAATCTTTTCTGTATGTGTGCTATTGAATTATTAGTTGTGAATTAACTGTCGTGGATACAATGTGCTGTCAGCGTACAGTAAGTAATATTCTATTTCGTATCAGTTAAACAGAATTGACAGTTTTCCAATTTAACTTGCTCGTATCTTTCATTTCTATTGCTGCCAAATACAATTAGATTCTTTTCTTGAGATGGGTACTTCCGTTTCCTTGTTCTTCATTCTAACCGGAAACGCATTGTAGACCGGAAACTGGAGGCACTTTTGGTTCTGTTTTCGGTTGACCTTAAGTTTAGTAGAAAGCCTTTTGAAAGTTATTAAAAATATCAAACGCATTACCAATGGTTTCATTTCTGTATCTGCTGATTCAATAAATCGCTAAATCACTGGAAATGTTTCAGGAAGAGGTTAGTCAACCCTTAGATCGTAGATCATTAACCCCTTGCTAATACCTGCAGACCCGATATATTGCTACAATATATAATATACAATAGAGCGTTTTCACGTGACGTCACAGCGGCCATTATGGGGTACCAAAACAATACATTTTCTATCCTCCGGGAATTGAACTCTATTTTTATGCAAATACTGTGCAGAAAGTTTCTATTGTTTATGGCTGCCTTCTCTCTCGTGAGTGAAAACGCTCTATAGAGACCAGGACAACCCAGGAAGCATAATCTATCGGGAAGCCTCTTCTCTTCCAGGCCCCCCTCTTTCCCCGAATATATTGACCGCTGTACAGTATGGGCTCAGGACACGTGCATGCTGTCAATTTGCTGTCAAGAGAAAACGAATATGAAGTTGGTCGCTTCTTGAGTATCTTGAACGAATTTTGCTGCTAATTTGGTCATTATGGTCGTAGAATTATGCATCAACTTCTGGCGGGAATACCAGGTGATCTTATTCTTTTTAATACGGCCTGAAAATGAATGTTTTAAAAGAGTTAATCAGTTTAGTTCAGGAGTTTGTTCTTGCTTATCAGAAGGTTATTTTAAATATTGCTGTTGAACACTCTCTTATTGTCGACGTTAGAGTACGTTTGTTCTCTTTCTTCTGTTTGCTCAACTTATGTCCCAAGATTCGTACCAAACACGATTATAAAAAAAATTTCTTCGTGTATTATTTCCTGGTACGAGAGTCTTTGTCCCTGATATTTTTCGAGCAACTGGAACCGTGTCGGTCATTTTAACACTTATCGCATATTTTACAGCTATGCAATATCTACAGCTCATTTCATTAATGCTACTTCTGCTACTAACAATCTTTCTTTCATCCGTCATTCTCGTTCCGCTGGCTGGCAATAGTGCAGGCTCTGGAAACGACGCTGTGTTTCTTATTGCGCATGCTCGGTGATCTGCCAGGAGCGTGGGATGTTGAATCTGGCATTTCGTTGAGTTGGCGCAGTAAGCTAGAATAGATGAGACTTTGTGTTATTATTCTACCTCGTACCTACTAAGCTTAACAAAAGACGCGAGTCACTACTTTATTCACTTGACATCGGAATAACTTCGAAACTTCAAGATTTGCTTAAAGGCCTTCAAGGTAAGCTTATATTTTAAAGATTATTATTATTTATTTTGTAAGTTTTTTCATCTTTTCACGGAGTATAATTTACCTTTTCATCATTACTGTTATATTTTAAAGATGTAGTTATAAGTCTTATAATCGGGATGCACTATTATATTTCCTGTAGGCGTTTTAGAAACAGTTTATTATATATTTTTATTGACGACTAAAATAATTAACGACACCGCGTGTTATATTTTTTTAATCTCATCTTGAGCAAACATATTCGATGATAAATTTTCTTTATGGATGCTGCTAAAATTATAAACAAGATCATTGAACAAAACGTAGTTCATAAGAAAGTCGACAAAAAGTTTTGTGAAAATACAGTGAACTCAAGTAAAAACGGTCATAGATGAAATACGGGATGGGTTGATGTGATTGTGAGAAGTTATGACTTTAATTTCAATACCAAAAAATCTTATTAAAATTATCTTTGGAACATACAATTTCTGCCTGAATAAAAATGATATCGAATCGGTTTGTATTGGTGAATTAAAAATCCTTTTCATAAACGGATATAACTAGCTAAAAACTAGTGTGAGCTGCGTCGGTGTTTCTAATGAAACAGTAATGATGAAAAGGTAAATTATACGCCGTGAAAAGATGAAAAAATTCATCTTTTCATTTTCATTTCATCTTTTCACGGTGTATAATTTACTTTTTCATCATTACTTTTCATAAACGGTTTCCTAGTGATTCTTTCGACTATGCTAAACTTTAACTTTATCCATGACAATGTAACGACTGCCACTTAAACAAATAATATATTTGGCTTTAATTTTATTCGGTTTAATCTAGCCTATGTTTTTATTTAATTTTCTTTTCTAATCTATTTTCAGCTGGTATAATGAAACAAATCAGCAGGATCCAATTCGTATCTTGTGTCTTTTCAGTCCTAATATTTTGGCATCGTATTCAGGTGCATGCGCAATTCACACCTCCATACGACATACCAGCGCATACACAGTTTGATTCTTTCAATACTGCTTTTGGTTGGGTGCTCAAGAGACATGTCATCAAGACCTTATCTAACATCGTTGGTATTGGTCAATGTATGATGCAGTGCTCCCTTTACGACGATTGCTACAGTCTTAACTTTTATCCCAATGTGGGTGTCTGTGAGCTGAATAGCGCTACGCATGCGTCACATCCGGGAGACTATGTTCCCNTATTATTATTATTATTATTATTATTATTATTATTATTATTATTAGTGACTGTGTTGTAGTTAGGGAACTTCCTTTTGTTGATACCTCATAAGTTGGACTTATAATATTCATTAATAATTCACGAGCGTTCTGTCCAATCCGGACTCGCTATTTGTGTCACATGCAATTTTTCCAAGGTGCGCAGTCTACCATGTTCTTCCACGTTCGCTACTAGTAGTTCGCTTGATAGACCTTTTCAAGCCCACTGGAATAGACTTAACAGGTTGTTAAAATGATATATGCTGAGTGACACCATCTGTGACTATAGCTTTAATTATTTCACTTGAAATCATGCAAAGCAGTGATATAGGATGGTAATTTGAATTTTCTTTTTCTTTTTCTTTCTTATAAATTGGTGTTTTTTTTACAAAGATTTAGGAACTGTGCAAGTATTTGCTGACTTCGAGCTTATGGCAGTGTTGTTACGATGGCTTCCGCATTCGGGGAGAAATGTTAAACAAGGATCTTTAGCTCTGTCCGACTTCAACCTAGAAATTTGCTTTTGAATAGCTTCTGCTTTAAACATTGATGTTTAGTTTGACAGATGATAACTTATAAGTGGTTGTAGGTGCTTTATTTTCTTTCATGGTTACAGTCAGGACGTTTAGCCGCCAACAGTTCTCTTACTGTGGAAGTGTTGGTTTAGAATATCAGCTTTTTACTGGTAATCGATTGCGAGTGTGTTGGCTTTACCTGTGATTGAGCATGCTTGTTGCAGATTTCATTGAACATTTTTGACCATCCCCAATACGTATCGTCTAGGTCATAAAAAGCGTGACAAACAGACCATGATGAATTTTCCACATTTTTTTGATTGGAAGTCTTATAATTACGTGCACTCATAATCTTAGGTGGCGGACGTCTTATCTTGGCATCGAGGGTTGCATGAATTAGCTTGTGATCTGATATACCCAATTCCTTACTTCCAGTAGAATCGACTATAGACCAATTCAAGAGAATATTAAGTACTTCATATTCTCTTGACCAATTTTATTAGATATCACTAGATCGATTAGTGTTGCAGAGTTTTCAGTGGGTAACTATTGTTGGCGTGTTAATGTGATCTCGCATAATGAATTGGTTTATAAGATTAATAGCTTGTTTCCAAGATGTCTTGAGGTACCGGTGTCTTGTCTTCATTGTTTTGATATTTTAACCAGATCTTCAGTAAAGACTGTACGAAATTGATTCACTATCACTCAGCGGCCTGTATACTACTCCCATGAGCACCATAGATGATCCCGCGTTTTGACTTTTATACGTTCTATGTTGCTGTTGTCTAAGCACTTTTGATGTTGTACTGATAAGTGATTGGCAACACAAAAGGCGAATCCTCCATCTGATCCTTTATATCTATCTTTCCATATTAATCTATAGTTGTTAATTTTAAGCTGTTGAGGTACAGTGTTGTTTAGACATGTCTCAGTGATTATTTACCAGGATATCATACTACTTGCATTCTTGGAGAAGCAGTTTTATGTCGTGTACTTCGTATCTTCTGATGTTAAGATGAGCAACGTTTAGTGACGTGTTTGTGTTTCGTTGACAATGTCATTCAGACTTCTTGACGAGTTCGGAATAAACGGTTTGGAATTGTTCGAATATACGTGATGATGTTAACTTTTGCGCGCGCTAACTGGACGGTCTAGTGCCGTTTCAATTTAAAAAAAGAATACGAAAAATAATGAAGCACAAAATTTAAAAAATGATAATTTTCTCTATATTCATCTCTACATTTTCCAAATTGTTTACGTATATTTGTAAGACGATGTATAATTAAGGATAATTAAGTCAAAAGCTTGATTAGCAGGCAGCCACTTCAATTCAGTACACGATAAGGACCTTCCTATTAGTATTCATTTTTTATAGACCCTTTACAGTGATTCTCAATCTTGAAATCCCAGAAAAAGAGTTCGTACAAAGTATCTATATAAAACTATTCACTGTTATAATTTTCAAAATGAAGTATATTTTTACTCACTTATCTGGCAGCTTTCTCCCATGTACTCATCCATGCATTGGCAACTATATCCAACTGCATTCCCAACACAGGTTCCATCATTTAGGCAGGGTGATGAATCGCAGTAATCGATGGCTGCCAATAGAGACGGCAATGGCAATGAGAATAGTAATGGAAATTAATATTGAAATTAAAGTCGCACTTTCCATTATTACCATCATTGACACTATACTTGCTTGTCATAAACGTCAAAAGCCCGCGCGGATTATTGACGAAGTGTCTCTGAAAGCTCAGTTTTCTATGATATTCATAAACGTGCGACTCCAAATTATTATCTATTATTAAATTATTATTATTATTATTATCATTATTATTATTATTATTATTATTATTATTATTATTATCAACCAATAAACCACACATCGTAGACTTCCGTTCAGCGGTACACGAAAACGTCACATTTCATTGGCTGAAAACATTACTACCATATTACCAGTTAATAGATAAATAAATTGTCCTTGTTAGGCATCAAGTTAGTTGTGTCTTTTTATGATTTCATTTCTTGCACTACTGGGTACCCAGCTACAATGTGGCTGAAGATTTAGTCATACTCGTTACACACATTCTACATTAGTACCACTTCTGTACCGTGCAAGAATGCGTTTTTTAAAAAATGATATCACGTAGGACGCACTTGGTCTTGTACCAGATAGCACAGAAGTGGTGACAAAGAATCTCCCTTGAAAATTCCGATCGACGTTGTTTCCAAATAACCTGATCATGACTTGTGGTTTACAGTCACTAATCATGTCTTCCATTACTTCATGCTGTCAGTGTGTCTTAAAAAAATTATCAGTGACGTGGTTATCTTTAAACGTACTCTCGAGCTGCCAAAACGTTCAGCCGTGAACTGTCATTAATAGGAAGTCACGTGGTTTGTGGTTGCTTAGCAACTGAATAGATTTACTGCACACGAGATGTGTGAAACGATGTCCAGATGTATATTCTAATCAAGGCTTAAATGCGCTTTCATCCTTCTTACAACACATTGGTATTAAAAGATGACGACGAAAATATAAAATATTCCGTCTGGAAGGTAATCAATATATCTATACTAATATATATATATATAAATCAAGAAAAGTGAAACTCCTTCAGGCATAATACCCCAGGCATGTCCACTCACTTTCCGTCATATATACATACATATATATTAACACTCATACTCACATTTATTTCAACTTACTTTTAATATGTGGCTCACTATGGAATAAGCTCGCCTCTCTCTCTCACTTCACACTTTCTCTCCGCTTTCATTTGATACAAAATGGATAATTGAAGATTTATTTTATTTTTTCTGAATTGCTTAAAAAACGTAAGATTTGATAAGACAGATGCTACTACTACTTTACAATGCTAGATTAAAGTGTTTTTTAGAACATCAATTACTATAGCCGGCTCGTTCGTTTTCTTTGTGTCAACCTGAAGTCAACAGAAATTGGTGTTATTGATATAACGCACTAGATCTGATCCAAGGGATGTTTAGTAGGGTTTGAGTTAGTGATAAAAACAGGATTCTGGATATAAAACTTGGCGAAGATTTGAATTTGAATTTGAAATAATGATCGACACCATACTGTGAACGTTTGAAAAGAATTCGACAACCAAGGCATTTTTTCATTTATTTTTATTTTATTTTTTGGGGGTTATTTTTATGATTTTTATGACTTTCTTTTGATCTTGATACAGTCTGAATGTTAGCAGACTAAGTACAGATTTTAAAATGATGATAAAACAACTTTTAAGAACTTGAAACAAAAATGTTTTGGTCAAAACATGTCTCGTTTGAAACGTTGTTTGATCAATTTTAAAATTGTCACTTTATTTTTATTCTGTCGAAATTGGGATACTGCCGTTATTTAGTCGTTTTGTCTTCCGTTCGTTATGTTGATTTAGATACTTTCAGCTTTACATTACCTTGCTAAGTTAACATGCCTATATCTTCTGGTTTCACTTTTTATTATTTTGAAAATATCTTGGCAGCTTTAGATCTATCTGGAACAATACATTCTTTATAGCACGTAGTTATTAATACAAATAGAAATGAATAATTCCTTAGGCAATGTCACCGTACCGTATTTCAATAGAAAAAATTATGAAAGCAACTACCATCACAATAAAATATCTCACTCGGCGACACTCAAAACATCTACATCTCCCACTCAAAACGATCTTTTCATCGAACCCTGAAACAACCTCTGGGCTGATATAAGTCAGGGCACGGTTAACTCACAGATAGAACCCTGAAACAACCTCTGGGCTGATCTAAGTCAAGGCACGGTTATCTCACAGATTGAACCCTGTAACAACCTCTGGGCTGATCTAAGTCAGGGCACGGCTAACTCACAGATCGAACGCTGAAACAACCTCTGTGCTGACCTAAGTATGGCTATTAAACCTCACATATAGTTGGAATTTGGAATATTTGGTAATGTACTGAAGCTGAAATGGTTGACCTGGAGAAAAAATTAACCAACATACTTATACAGCTGTTTCTTCTAATAGTATTTCTTCTTATTTTTCCATAGACAAGTTGATACCTTAAATATGACGATAGACTATTTGGTTTTCCTCGCAATGTCATTAGCACAAAGTACTGTAAGGTACGCGCAGTTTTCTCCTCCGTACGACATACCAGCGCATGTGCACTTTGATTCTTTCAATACTGCTTTTGGTTGGGTGCTCAAGAGACATGTCATCAAGACCTTATCTAACATCGTTGGTATTGGTCAATGTATGATGCAGTGCTCCCTTTACGACGATTGCTACAGTCTTAACTTTTATCCCAATGTGGGTGTCTGTGAGCTGAATAGCGCTACGCATGCGTCACATCCGGGAGACTATGTTCCCTCTGATAATGGCAGCTTTCTGTTGTATATCTTTCGTTCCGCTAAGTTTTGTGATGACTCGTTATGTACTGGGGATCAAGTGTGTCTTTTAGAAAAAGATGGCGTCACTCGACAGTGTAAAGGTGAGTGTGCATGTATGCCTCAGGCTCCATTGTCTTGTTTTTCTATATTTTTCATACACCATTTTTCTAAGGTTGTCGGAGCCAGAGAAGAGAGTGATAAGCCATTGCTAGATGTCAAAAGTTTAAGAAAATCTCTCACTAGAATGGTGTGCATGTTTCCATGGGCAACTGTTTCCATGTGAACGTTTCCTAAGGTCAAACTCCTGTTTTTCAACTTCTTCAGATTGTGCAAAAGCGCTAGGAATGGAAGACCGAAGCATCCCAGACTCGGCCATCATGTCCTCGTCAACATATGGAGCAGGAACAAGTCCTTCAGGGGGGAAATATGCTCGATTACATAACATAGCAACTGGATTGGATTCTTGTTGCTGGGCTCCAGCATATCCTACTGCAGGGCAGTATCTACAAGTAGATTTGGGTCAAGTCAAGATTGTAAAAAGAGTCGCAACGCAAGGAAGAGACGGTAATCAAGTCAAATATGTGACGAAATACACGATCAAATGGAGCATTGATGGACAGACCTGGGAGGACCATAAAGAGAATGACGTTGTCAAGGTAAGACTGTAACGAGTCTTATTTTAAGACATGTTGGCGTCCTTACATTGTTTAGTTGCATGATAAAATTGGTGGCTTGGACGTGCCGCGTTGTAGTAAGCGAAGAACGTTGTCCTAACAAAGAACATTAGGATCAGGGTTTCTTCACGCGATCGTTTTACCCTGGGCATAATGTTTTTCCATTTCAGACCAAGTGTCGTTTAATTAAGAATAAAATTTTGTGTTGGTGATGTATCCATATTCATGTGTCTTCTCATGCACAACTGTTGACACTCTAGGGAATGACACGTCGGTCTGAAATGAGAAACTTTAAACACCAGCTAAAGCGGTATATATTCCCAATCCACTGCTTTCCGATTTCAGACAAACTGTCATCTCTAGAGTATCATTTCTTTGTCTAAAAGTGACCCATAGGCCTTTTCTACGTATGATAAACAGGATGTATTGTGGTCTAGATTGGGTACAAACAACATCATATAAGGTATGATGAACGAAAGATGTTTGTACCCAAGCTAGACCACAATGCACCATGTTTGCTATCAAGGAAAGAAGGTCTATGAGAAGATAGATGAATATGGATACAAACAAAACGAAGAATCTTATTCTCAATTCCATGTGTCATTCCCTAGAGTATCATTTCTTTGTTTAATGGTTGCGCATGAGAAGACACATAAATATGGATACAAATCAAACAAAGAATCTTATTCTCAAGTCTATGTCTCATTCCCTAGAGTATCATTTCTTTGTTTAACGGTTGTGCATGAGAAGACACATGAATATGGATACAAATCAAACGAAGAATCTTATTCTCAAGTCCATGTATCATTCCCTAGAGTATAATTTCTTTGTTTAATGGTTGCGCATGAGAAGACACATAAATATGGATACAAATCAAACAAAGAATCTTATTCTAAAGGGAATGACACGTGTCTGAAATGGGAAAAAAGTACGCTTAAGATAAGGAGATACATTGAAGTGCTAGCAACTCTTTTAAAATCAAGTACTTTCTTTCCAGGTATTTGACGGAAACGTCGACCATTTTACCGTAGTAACGAACAGTCTTAAAGATAAAATCATAACAAGATACATACGACTAGTAGTACAGGAGTGGTATGGTTACATAGAGCTACGTATGGAGCTGTACGGATGTACAATTTAAACTACAGACTTTCCTGGCACATGGAACAAACAATGAAATCTTCCGTAAAAAGTTTTGTTACGTCCATGATTAATCTCTCGCACCCTTGCTCCAATACTATTCCAGGTTGGTAGGGTTCTATGGCACCCCAGTAATTTCTGCCTATGTGTACACGTCACATACCTTCCTTAAGAATGAAGCATGTTTATGATAAACAATGTAACAGTTTAGAACAGTTTGTATTTTTAATTTACTCGATTGGAAGGCGAGTAATAGCCACCCCAGAAAACCATGTCACTATCTTTTTCCCTTCCAAGGATGAAGCATGTTCATCACAAACAAATCAACACCTGCAACAGTTTGTATTTTGAATGAGGAATAAACTTACTGAAGACATTAATAATCCTTAATAATTAGCGATTATTAGTCTAGATATAAGGCTGACTGCAGGTTCACTGAGGGGGAGGGGCTGTTGGGACTATAGCTCCCACACTTCTTGTTTATATCGACTAAACGTTTCGAATCTAATCCCCCTCCCCTTCCCACCCCTCCCCTCCCCCCACACTTGTTAAAGTGCTTTGCAAGTCCTTGGCTTTATACACCTCTGGGAAGTGACAGTCTGGTATTTTCATATTTGTGGACATTTGTTTCTCAGTGTTTTGAAATATAGGCACAGAAATTATACGGGAATACAATCAGGAAATTATAAAGTCAAGTCCAATGAATCAAACTCGAGACCTCACAGGTGAGGTGTGTGCTATCCTGCCACTAAATCATTCAATAGATCCAATACTTGGTATCTTTTATTGGTGAAATTAAGATTTTACTATTTACATCGTAGACGTGCTTTTTAAACTAATACCAACTGAACATTAATATGCATTTGTTCGTCTGATTTTCAGAATCAATAGTTTGTTTGTGTTAATGACCATGGTATCTAGTGAGTGAGGTGAATAGATGGATGGAGGGAGGGAGGGATGGAGGGATGGAGGGATAAATGTGTGGAGACCCACGGATTTGAGGTTTCAACTCTATTTCCTATATAATATACACATTTCATTTGCATAAGATCTTTTGATCTTTAACATAATGCATTATGGGGTAGATTGGGGTACCTAACCTTAAACCTTGTTTGACGAACAAGTTCCATAAGGTCTAGCCCGGGTAACTACAATACCTTATAACGCATGAAAAACAGAGAGTGTTTTTACCCAATCCACACCAGAATGCATCATGTTTGGGGTCTACGAAAATGTCATTTTGTTGCGCATGATTCCCATAGTGCACTGCGGTTCTAGATTGTGTAAACAATTTATACATGACCAGGTAAACAAAGACAAGTACTATGTTTACACTGGCCAACCCGAGGTGCAAGGCATGCGTAAATAACACTCAGAACGAATTTGGTGCTAGAGAAATAACATTCAATATCTCTGTCTTATAAAGTCGTTTGAATGACACCTGAAGATGTTTTTTTAGCAACTGGAAGCGTTACTAAGGGATACCTTAGCAACCAGAGTCAGTTTATTTAAGCAGTCGCAGTCAGCAGCCTGTAAGAAAGAAAATGGGTCGTGAAAACACACCAATTACCAAACGAGGTTACAAACTAGACTACAGTACTTACAGATGTGAAACTGCAATGATGAAGGCCAGTGGGGACACGACATTCCTTGCGACAGCTGAGGACATCAAATTTACAGCATTATCTCCAACACAGAACAGAAAATAATACTTACATTTATGAATTGTATGACGTCAACGCCGCCATATTGAATGACGTCATATCCATGTTTAGGGAGAGACCTAGGAAAGTCTACACCAATGTGATGCCGAGTCCAGAAATAGAACCCGACACCCACCCCCCTGAAATAATTGCAATACACTTGTCTAGGTTTTTGGCCTGTTGCAAATCAAATCTCAAATTCCCAACGGTCGCGTAATGACGGACGTGGTGTAACGTTTATAACTTTATAGTTCAATTGAGTAACGTACCGTTTGAGTCACAGTGTTTTTCTGCACATTTAGATTCTTCACATTTGATTTCTCTGACCACGAGTATCCCAGCACAGGATGAATCAATCTCTGTACACGTTCTGTTCTGCCAGATCTGCCCTGGTGCTCCTGTGCAACAGCGAGATTTACAAAAGGTCTCATCTGTCACCCAAACTGTTATGTTTAGTCCTGGAAATGGTCATGAAATATCTTTAGTACTCTTTTCATTTTCATCCCATCCCATTAAATCCCATCCTATCCCGTGCATCCATAAAATAAATAATTGCTTCATTTAAGTACCTTCCGCACTTTCAGCGACGGTGAACGAGTTCTTGTCCACAGAAAGCCCAGCAAACGAACCAGAAGACACGGCCTGCTTGAGCACAACAGCGGGATCCTGGAGACTAGATGAATTCTTTGGCCCAAAGACCAGCACATAAGCAGCGATGATACTTCCTCGAGTGAAGGTCAAGTTATCCATTCGTTGGTAAGTTGGATCGTTGGCAAAGCTTGCTTTGATCTAAGGAGAAACAGATAGATAAAGGGAATTGCAAATCGTGCTTGCTAACTCGAGGGTTGATTACAAGATGGGATGGATGGAGGGATGGAGGGATGGAGGGATGGACGGATAGACGGATGGATGGATGGATGGATGGATTTACTTACAGCGTTCTCCACTTTGTACTTCAGGTTGTTATACTGTGGACTTGTAGTGACTGCAAGATCGTCATTGTACGCTTCGCTCGTGAACTTCATCGAAACGGAGAATTTTCTCACTTGAATAAAATATAACATTCATCTTTGAGAACGATAACACTGACTGGAGTATTAAGGGCAGAACCCCATCAATAACCAGGCAAGCAAGCAAGCAAGCAAGCAAGCAAGCAAGCAAGCAAGCAAGCAAGCAGTATGCAAAGAGAAAACATAAGAGGTGAGTAGAAACGACAGTTAGTTTTACCTGGACATTTTTTAGTGTTACAATTTTGTGTTTCCCTGTCACTACCAGTACAATTCAACCCTTTGGCCTGTGGAGGAGGGTTGGTACAGGTTCGTGTTCTGTACTGGGTGCCATTAGCACACGACTTGGTGCAGGCAGACCAAGATGACCAAGTATTCCAGTTGCCATTGACTACCAAATTAAGAAAGCCAATTATTTATCATATTACTTAATAAAATAGATGTTGTAAATCTCGCGTTCAGATAGGTTGGGCGCACACTTTCTTTTTCGTCAATCGTATCCAAAATAACGTTTATTGTAATTTGCGCTACGCTCTCTTGTGTTATGCCAATCCTCGCGTGCTTTATATCTCAACACAGCACGCGCGCGCGTTTTTTAACACAATAGAATATCATACTTTGAACTTTGAACTTTGAACTTTGAACTTTTTATTTATTAACACACATTAATAGAAATAAAAGAATTATTACAAGGACATAATTATGGAAATTATAAGAGCCAATGATTTACAATTGAAATATAAAAAAAAGAATAAGTACCTGGTCCAGCTTGTGCAGATGATGATGGGGAAGAACTCTGAGTTGACGATGGTTGGATCATCGTGGATGACTGTGAAGGCGAAGAGGGAGACGGGGTCATTGATTGTACCACACTCACCGAGGACAAGGATGAGGACGAGGACGTTGATTGAGCTGATGATGATGTGGAGGCAGCAGCTGAAACAGAATGTGTTGTCATGGCTGGGGTAGAAGAGAAGTTGACAGCCGATGAGGTTTGGGAAGAAACCATGGAAGACGATGAATTGACGGTGTGAGAGGCAAAAATGGTCATAGTCGAGTTATCGAAGGCTGTAAAAGATAATGTAGACAGTCGACATCATTATCATTATCATTATAATCATGATCATTATCATCATCATCATCCTCATCCTCATCATTATCATTATCATCATCAT